TTGTAACTTGCGTGTTTTCTGTGTTGGATGCTCTAGAAGTCTTACCTAGAATTCTCTACTATGTTCTAATCTATTGCTTTACTGTTTTATTACGTTTTATCAGTCACAATATCTTGATTAAACCATTTTTATTTTCCTTTTTGATATTCTTAAATTATTAAATCAAAATCTAACTTAAATCCCTATGGAGACTACCTCGTTTATACTACAATCAGCGAGAATAGTGTATACTTATACTAATTTTTCCTTAGTTGTGAGGAAACGAACAGCTAGCCATGAGACCTAATTAACCTACCGATCAGAAGCTCTAACGATGCAAGATTAATCAGTCAAACTCATTAATCGAGTTAATCAACATTCGTTAACTGCGGGTCACTCCACTAAAGACCCGTAGCTGCACTACTCTCACTACAGAATATTTTCATGTCTACCGATGTACGACCATTAACGACAAGTCAATCCTTTAAAAGTGCTCGTAACTCTGGGTCAAATTACCATTTTACCCCTGAGTTACATCTTGTCCCTTAAATACTATTGCTCCTCTAATGAATAACCTGGTTATGGTCTGGCCAATAACTGAAAGTCCCTCTTGGGCCAGTGAGAGGGTGAAGACCCTTGTTCAAGTACTAGAGTCAGTATGTAAGGGAACACTCATCTACTTCCCTAAAGTCGGGAAGGAGTGAATTTTATCTTGCGTAGTTATGTTCCCAGCTCCCGACTCGGTTTCGTTCCCAAAATGGTAGAATTATTGAGTCGGCAACCTGGGTCACTCTCACTCATACAAATCAAAGGACAATCCCTTATAGGTAGGAGTCCATAACTCGCTCCAGATTATGATCGAGTTACTTGGTCATCATATGAGATAACAATCTATTGACTAACGATGTTAGAGCCAATGATTAATTATTTCGCGGTCCAGTCTTATACAAACTCATTGTATAGCATACCCCAACTCACATGTCTCTACATGAATGACTTGGATAAAGTCGTTTGTAACTATTACTATTACAAAACGGGTTGTATCCATAGTGTTAACAGGATAAGGTATCCAATCTTATCCACGTACTATAGCCGTTTAGGTTATTACTGGAACATTATCCACTTGTATATCAACTATATACTATATATATATACTGTATATCGATTATATATACTGTATATTAAATATATATCAAATATATACTATTCCAAGCTTGTATATGGAATATATATAATGTATAGTAAATATATATCAAATATATACTATTCCAAGCTTGTATATCGAATATATATTGTATACATATTGTATATCAAATATATACACCGTATATTAACTATATATTGTATATCAAATATATATTGTTCCAGTTACATTAAATAACCTTGGATCTTAGTTTATTGGAATACGAGTAATGCAAAGAAATAATAAAATAACTTTTATTAATAATAAATAAAATGTTTACAAATTACAAACTCAGGAGCTTAGAGCACTAAACCCAACACCATCCACATGGACAATTGAAGCTTTTTTAAATAAAAATGATATTGATCGGCAACTTTGCAATTGATTTTGGGGTAACAAATATCAAGAATGATGTTGGTTTTGGTATTTGAAAACTCAATGGAATAAACCCAACCCAATTACTTCAAAATGTCGATGTTGATGTCCCGCTTTTATAGACATGTCGATGTCGACGGATATTTCGGAAAAAAATCACGGAAGTTATGGATATTGATGCAAATTTTTTGAATTAGTAAATAAGACTTTAATTAGAGCTTAATTAGCCCATAATTCATCACTTCTAACCATCGTTTCTAAATATATAAGTAATATACTTATGAAAAATATACTTATGGAAATGTCGTTGCGATGGAAACGTCTAAACAAAATCATGTATACATACATGGAAATTATTTGAATTTGTAAATTAAAGTTCATCGTTGCTTGAGTATGTTTTATTGATAATTTCTAATCCAATCTAATTTTAGTTAGATAATTGAACCAAATATGTGAAATATATATATATATATATATATATATATATTTAATTAATGAAGTAGAATAAGTAACTTAATTAATACAAAAAAGATGATATTCTAGTGCAATATCTTATATATGAGAAATAAAAGAAGATGATTAAAAAATTGCTTAATATAATTAAAATAAATTATAAAAATAAAACAAATATTAGTAAGAAGAATAATAATAAAAACAAATTTTTATAGTATCTATCATATATATAAAAGGAAAATATATTTTTTAAGAAACAAGAATTTAAGAGAATAATTTGAATTTATGAATGAAGAAAAATGAGGAAAGAGAGGAAAGAGAGGAAAAACGAAGTGATGTAAAATTAAAAATTGAAAAGCTTGAAAAAGAAAAGTTAAAAGTTAGAAGAACTCATCCATGTTGTCCCACATGGGTTGTGGCTGTGAGAGAGGAGGGTAAATTCTTTATAAATAGATATACTTCCCTCCCCTGCTCAATGCTCTACACAATAAGTAGTTGGGTCTCATCACATTTTGGGCTTGGTTGGGCCGATTTAAGGGCTCAGCCATCGAGTTAAAATTTTCTTTTCTTTTTATTGTCTTGATATTTTCGACGAGAACGACGTGTCTATGTGTTGACCGAAATTTGAAACAGATAGTAGAGAAAACACATTTTGCCTTGTTCGATTTTTAAAATAAGAACAAGCTGCAAATAAGAAGTTTGTAGCCCGAATGATCCTTACCTTTTCTCTTTCGAGATTCGGGGAGCAATACTCAGATTCCACAAAATTGTGTAATTACCAGCTTTGTAAAGAATAAGAATGGAGATGCAACAACAATTGCTGGAAGTACTTTGAAAATAATTCAAAACTTACCATTAAAAGTAACAAGGTGGAAAAATAGAGTTATAACTTAAACAATGACTTGAAAATACTAAGTTTTAAAGATAAACATGACAAGCTAAAGAACTAAGGAAACAAAATAAGCTGAGAACAAATGTAGAATGCTTGAAATGATCACTTGGATGATGAATGAGGTGAAGGAGACTACTGTATTTATAGGAAGCTCCAAGGTGGTTAGGGAGTCGAGCTTTTCGTGGGGAGTCATGCCTTCAAAACTTCTTCAACTGAGTTTATCATTGCATAGAGGACACGTAGAAGGGTTAGGAGAAGCTATCAAATACATAAAAATGTTCGTTTCACATTAAGGGCAATCTCGACATTGAACAAGGCGTCAAGCACCTAGCTTGATAATTTCCTGCACAAAATCGTAATTTTTGTTATAAACCAGCTCTAAATATTATAAAAATACTCTATATGCATGTACAACCCAAGATAACTATGAATGAATGGTTTTGGACACTAGAGTAAGCTAAAAACACGGTTTCTAAGTGTAAAATACTGGAAAACAACATCTAACTAGCTTATTTTTACCCTTGTAAACAAGAGAAATCATAGATGTTGAACGAAGTGACCACTTGGACAGATGAACTAGAAGATCGACAAAAGAAGCTCAATGATTTTGTAACATGGTTGGAAGCTCGTATGATTGTCATGGGTGCATAGTGATATTAAGTAAATCATCCATTTTTGGAACGCTGTAATGTATCTCATGCTCATTGTACTTTCACCTTCATGTATGGTTATGTTTATTTTGTTATTTATTTTTTCTTTGAAAACCGTAACACTTATTGTGAGCTATATTTCAATTTTACTCTTTTTTGTGCTCTTGCTATTGACTGTGATGTGTTCTCGATCTCGACCTTGCTATGGCTCTCGATCTCATTGTGGCTCTTGCTCTAGTCGTGGCTCACAACACGCTCTGGCTCTTGCTTTGTTTCATGCTTTCGCTTTGGCTCTCGCTTTATCTTTTCGCTCTCGTTCTCGCTTTATCTTCTCTCTCTTGCTCTACATTGACTTCTTTCTAACCCTTTCTCGCGTCTTTCCAATATGGCCGTGACCTTTAAGATTCCCAACGCATGGGAACACACGTATAAAAAAGCAAACCGTTGTTTTACCTCCCAATTAATATATTCAAACTTACATTTAATGTTCCTTTAAAACCATTATCTTCCTGTTTCTATATATAATAATACTTTGGAACAAAGTTGTGAAATCATTCTAACATTTACCTTATATCGCCATTTGTAAGAAATATACTATGTAATAAAGAAATGTCTGCTTAAGAGGCAACAAGTCCACTGGTGATACCAACTTCTTCAGTGGGAGAAAATTTTCATGGGACCCTATGGTGCTTATATTAATAGAAACGAGGAGGACATTCGACAACTGAAGGGAGAACTTCATACTATCATACATGAACTCAATAACACAAGATTCTTATTAATGGGGGACAGAGGAAACCTGTTCCTTAATGGAAAAAATGATTAACGACGAGCGCGACACTGAACGACGATGCGGGATAGAGAAAAGACAGCTCGCATATAGTCGTTGAATTGAAGGCGCGTTTATGAACCTTGGGTGGGTAGATGCCCTCATATTAGTCCTCGTTTATTTCTTTAAATAATTGTAATTTTATATAATCCTCATATTTGATGAATTGTTAGTTAAATTTATATTGAAATACAAAAGTATACGTATAATATACTGATCTCGCTCTCACTCTTTGTATCATGATTTGACGTTTGCACTTCCCTATTACTAGAAACTCGTAACCAATTAATTAAGTTTTGAAAATCTCACACGCCATTAGACCAAAACAATGATAACCTAACCACATTCAATGAATATTAATTCCCCGGCACTTCTTCGTCTTATATATATGACATACATTTGCATTCAAGTTTTATCATTTCTCTTATGTTCCCTTATCTTCTATTTTGTACGGGGTACATCACAAAGGGAAAGTCCATATGAAGATCCTACAAGGGGTAAGTTGGAGGATGAGAAAAAAGGCATTGCAAGAATCAAGATGTACGCCATAGAAAGGATAACGAACAGATAACATGAATGGGCAGACAGGTTGGATGGAGAAAAAAAACTCGAAGATAGAGTGGCGACATTAGAGGCTCGTTTGCGAGCAATGGAGGCATTGTGGCCTTAGTTGCGTTGGTTTCCAATAAATTTCAAATATTTTGATGTATTTTAATTCTCCAGTAATGTTAAAAATTCTCATTCTCTAGCAATATCAAACAAATATATATAAAAATATATAAAAAAAAACCTCTCTGTATTTTGTCTCGCTCTTGCTCTGACTCTCACTGTTGCTCTTACTCTCGTTATTGTTTGTTCTCTATGTTAGTATCTGCAGTCACTCTCAGTAATGCATATCCATTGCTTCGTGTAAATACCTCTCACCCTAAAAGGTTGCCGTCATCATACTCAGTCAATTGCTGAACATACCAATGAGTCAAACTAATGAAGAAGAATAAAGAAAACAATCTGAAACCAAAGCATAACAATATTTATTTATTGAAATAATAGAAATCGAACACATGAGAAATCATACAATATTTATTCAAAAGAACATAAATAGAACACGTGCGATGATGAATGAAATACATAAAAAAAATTCCGAAAGGAGGGGTCGGGAGCTGGGGAACGAAAAATTGAAAACTTACCATGAAAGGCGAACAGGCACGACAAATCAAACATAAAATTGGAAAAAAAAGAAAAAACTCGTTTACCGAGGTAGGAGAGGTTTTTGAGGCAGAGAGAGAATACGATGAAAAGCAACTAATAAATTTCAAATGAAAAAATAGAGGGAAAAGTGAACTCTTTACCCAAGTTAGTGGAGGAGTAGAGAGAGTAATTTGGCAGGTGAAGCGGATTCCCCGGGTGGTGCCGCCGATTTAAGGTGGGTGGAGGCGGTGGCTTGATCTCTATCTTTCATGGTGGTGACTCTCGTCTATCCCTCTTCTTCTTCTTCGAGTTTTCAACTAAAGAGAGATAAGGATGCTTAAATAAGCTTTACAAACCAAGACCTAGACTTAGATGGGTTGGGTGAAAAATGGGCCATAAAATAAAACAAGTAAAAGAGGCCCAATAAGATAGATGACGGTAAGAAAAAATACATTATTAAATTAATATTAATATGAACCTCTAACATCTTTGTCAAAGATGTCTTAACAAATTGAACCATACGTAGGTTAACGCATTACATTACATATTATAAAAAATAATATAAATAACAAAATTGATGGTTTTTTAAATACCAAGTCTATTTTTTTGTGTAGTCAATCGAGAATAGGATCAGGAGAGGAGATTTTAATGTTTAATATTCATGACAGATTACTAATGCTTTTCCAATATCGTATGATCAACTCTAAAAATTTTTTAATAAGAATTTGAAATCTCAATTTTGAGTCTAATATATTTAAGTATTTTAAAAAACTTCTAATCATTTCACACTTGTGTCATTGGTATGTTATCATATAACTCTTTAATAATACAATCAATACGCTACGTAAGCATTAAACTAATAAAAATAATGAATAGACAACATGAACATAACCCATGTTCTCCTAAAAAATCGTCCAAACGAGTATAGCTTAATGAAATCAAGTACGAATATGTATTATAGAAAAATTTAAAAAAAAGTCACAAACCTATCAAAAATCAAGTACATGTATGTATTATATTGATGTTTTAGAAATTATTAAAATTACATAAATATTTAACTATAGTTCATAGTTCAGTAGTAATTGACATATATCTTAAACGAAAAAGTTGTGAGTTTGATACTCGTCCTTGAAAAAATTGAAAATCAAACTCGTAAATAAAAAAAAATCCATTTACAATGGGAACGTGCAAAAGCATGTCATAAGATCAGAAGAGAAAAAGGGGAAAAAAGAAAAAAAAATCTAAAAAAAAAAGAGAGAAATTGGGTTAGCGGCAAACCAGAAACCCTCGTTCCGATCCCCAAAAACCCCACCTTCCCAATCTTCTTCTCCTCCTTCTCCTTCCCATTTCTTCCGCAGAACCCACGAGGAGCTCTGAGAGACGGCGGCGAGCCATGGCAAGCGCTGATGTTGAGGCTGTGGACTTTGAGCCCGAGGAAGATGATCTCATGGACGAGGACGGAGCCGCCGAAGCCGACGCCTCCCCACGAGCTCCTTTTCCTAAGCTCAAATCCGCCATCACCGGCGGCGCCTCGTCCTCTCTCGCCGGTCCCAAGAAGACCAAGGGTCGTGGCTTCCGAGACGAATCCGATCGCAACACCCGTCTCGCCGGGTCCGACTTTGATTCCCTCAAGTCTGCTGATGGCCCCGGCCCCCAACGATGTTAGTTCTTCCTTGTCTCCTCCTCCTCATTACCTAGTTTGACAGATTGGTTTTCACCATTTTGTTTGTTGGGTTCTTTCCGTTCGTTATAGCTAGGGTTATGAAATTCTGGATGTTTATTTACTTTGTAGGTGGCGAGTTTAGATACATTGCCCCTTGGGTTGTGAGGGAAGTTATTTCTTTTCTTCTTGAATCTTCGGAAATTATAGGTTAGAGTAGACAAATCTTTCCCTTGAGCTTTTTAGGGGTTTTGCTTACTGTTGATGTCAGCTCGTGTGCCTTACTGTTTCAACAATGAACAGATCTTGGCTAAAATTTGATGTGGGAAATTATCATAGAGATAAGGATCGAAGTCTTGAAGTGGGAAGTTATGATGGAGCATCAACATTCTAGAGAGAATTCAAAGAATGAGTCTCAAAACCACTTTTCCATTCATTTGCCACCTCGCCTCCTGCTTTTGGAATTTCCTCTTTTCTTCTTATGAGCGGACGAACCCTTTGCACAGGGACATAAAGTTATCTCTCCACTCTATCCCGACTAACCACCCATTCAAGGAAAAGGCTAAATGCTTATGTTCGCTCAACCTGATTAGAGGTTGGTTTGTTGACTAACATAAAGACATCTCTCCATTTAATCATGACTAAATATCCCTTATTCAGCTTCATTTGGGATGGCCAACAGCATTGACCTTGTCTGGAAGTCCGCCAGCCAGGCTTTCCCTTTCTCTCAACAGTTTTGGCTGATTTCTTGAGCAATGGACTTCTGAGTTATGAGTCTACAGTGGCCAACATTATTGAAGGTCTTTACAACTGGTAGGGATCAGACCAATGTTTTTCTCATCTTCTATTTTTGGTGAGAGGATCTCTGGCTACTTATCTCAAAGGAAGACTTATATTCTCTCTAGGGGTGGAAGAATAACATTGGTTTGATTGGGTCAATCAATGATCTACTGCCCTCTTAGTTGCAGATGCCCATGCTTTGATTCGAAAGCCCTAGCCTGCTCCAAATTACCTTACTTTCTTTCCCTTTCTATGCCCCTTCAAAATTTATTTAGAAAATGGGGTTAGTTCAATTGATTCGTTCAAATGATCTTACTTCTCCTTTTTAAAATCCCATAAAAAATTATTAAGAGAATGGAGAAGTTT